TTTGTCGCAACCTGATTTAGGATGACGCAAAACTATGAACAAAATCTGAAGTTGGATAAAACTGATGGAAAAAAAACTAACACGCAATAATTCATACAGAATCTGAACAAAATCTGAAGTTGAATAAAACTGATGGAAAAAAAAACTAACACTCGATAATTCATATAATAATTAATAATTCAGGAAATATTTTATGTGTTATTTCCTCTTTTTTTGATGCAAAGAAATCAATCATTGTTTCAATACTGTGTACGTTTGTCGCAACCTGATTTAGGATGACGCAAAACTATGAACAAAATCTGAAGTTGGATAAAACTGATGGAAAAAAAACTTAAACGCAATAATTCACACAGAATCAATTTCACAGTTTATAAGGAAATATTTTATGTGTTATTTCCTCTTTTTTTTGATGCAAAGAAATCAATCATTGTTTTAATACTTTGTACGATTTCGTATGAATAAAATATTGATGAGAATTTTTAAATTTCTGTTTTGATTAGATTTTGATAGAAATACATCATTCCTGGTACATAAATCAATCATTATTGTAAAAGTTTGAACATTTTTAAATAATTCTATGAGAAACTTTGTTGTGTGATTGTTTATTAATTGGTATTTATTTGTTTAATTTGCAGATAAACATGAAGTGGTTCACGTGGACCTTATTCGTATGCCTGATGGTCCAAGCGAGGACCCAGAGCGAAGATGACGAGTCCGAGATCGTGGACGTTCCAGAGAGCGTCCCGGCGCCTCCGCCCAGCCCTCTCGACGACTGCGATCCCGAGATGATAGGCTTCGAGCTGATCACAGGCTACGTGTTCTCTGCACCTATGAACGTGCTCGACAACATTCCCGGAACTCTGATGCTCACCGACTGCCTCGAAACGTGTCAGGGGAACGACTCTTGTCAAGCGGTCACCTACGAAACCGGACTCTGCGTCCTATTCAATTCCAACGCCGATGCTCTACCAGGTAAATAAACATCTCAGATCCATCCTTACTTTCCCACAAGAGTTCAACGGATAAAGAGAAGACGAAAAAAAAACAAGAAGGCTTTTGGTATATGTATAACAGAGAAGACGACGACTACTACCAAATCTTCCTAGATGGTAGCAGTCGTCTGGGTTTCTGGGGCAGGTCGCATCCATTTAACTGTCGGCTGTCGCTCGGCCGATGAGGAAGAAGACCTTTAAGGATCCGCCGATAGTAATAACTGTATTCTGCATTCTGCAGTTAGCATTCCGTCCAAACGTCAGTTCCATTTATACTCGCACGATGTGCATCGGATTGAGATAGCATTAAGCAAATTCCCATCGATTAGCGCAAAACTACACCACTACATCCTAAGAGAACTTCAAGTGAAATCGTCTGGCAGAAAATGGAGAGTGATGCTCCTGTCTATCTCTCTCTCTCTAGAATTTTTATAAAGGCTTATTAAAGAATTACATACGTGTACACGCATGCAACGCTCACGAAGTACAGTTAAGCCAACAACGTCTAAGTACCTTAATCACGATACGATAATGCAAAAAAACCACAATAAGTAACGCACGATGCGTTCCCACTCCTAATTAATTAATCGATTCGCTAGACCTAACGTTACGTTGTAGAGGAAAATTTGATCGAAACGAACAGGAAAAAGAACTGCTGCACGCAAGACCACAAACTAACTGTTATTCCTCGATTAATTGTTTAATTACCGGCGGTCGCTTCCGCTTATGGCGAAACCCCCGTCATTGTTCCATCAATTTCAATGGGACCAATTACGCCGACCATTGGAAAATTTCAAGAAAAACTAATTGAATCCGACTTTTAAATTCTAACAACATCCACGACGACGACGAGAATTTTTAAAAGAACGATTCGAAACAACTATCTAATGAGTTCGAGCAACAACATTGGCCATCGACCCAACGCTACCATCCATCAATAAATCCATCGATCGATGGATTTATGTCCCAGACCAGACGACTAATGCAATAATAATCGTTTAGAGATATGATAGACAAGTCAGTTTCACTCAATAACACGGACAACTCCATTCGCATTCTATTACCCAACTTAATTGCATAACAACAATGATAGAAAATTCCGCATGTCAATATAATAATTCAATTTACTAATCCCAACAATATAATTAAATTTTTGAAATAATTTATAAATTAAATTATTTAATGAAAAAATACTTTTATAACATTTTTTCAAATAGAAAATAATATAAAATGAATTGTTTAAAGTTTTCTATTTTTCATTGAAGTTGAGTGGAGAATGCTGGGATAATGCGATAAATTATTTTGTTTAGGAGACAACAGAGCGTTTCTGAAGTCCATTCTGTTACTGTAAACGAATTACGAAGAGCATTTCCGAAGCGCTACTTAAATAAATAAACCATTTAAAGTTACAATCCACGTACGGCATTAATAAAATGCCTGAATAACAAGCTAAAGTAAAATGCGGAAGTTGTTCTGATAAAATTTGGAAAAAACTATAACGTTGTTGCTAAACGAAACCCCGGCGCATCCGTCACGAAATGAAAAATTTGGAAAAAAAATTACAAAATAAATACAAAAAATAATAAAACGAACTACAACATGTGTACGCAATTCGCGTACTTTCAGTTGATTTCATTTGATGGATGGATTGCTGCGAATAAAAATGAAATTGACGTTAACTGGGAGAGAGCAAAAAAAAAATACAAATTTTTCGTTGCCTGTTTAAACGGTGAAATAACATATTGGTGGATGAAATGGTGGAACAAAAAATAAAAAATATAAAATAAAAAGCTAAAATAAACGACGCCGTGTTTCGGAACGGTATGGAATGGGAATTGCGATGAAATGAATGCGTTTTTACAGAATGTCGTGCAGATGAAATTTTATTTGCATTTCATAATGGATCCGTATGCAAACACGGATGAATGTGCACGCTGCCTGCATATAACCGAAATCATCGAGGTAATCAAAACGCAATTGCGTGCGTGTGAAAATTCCCTTATTTGGTATTAATAATGAAGGTGTTATGACGATGGCGCTCATCATCATCATCATCATCAACAACATCGTACTCCCCGGAGGGATGCAGTGCATATTGGATGGGATGATGAGAGTTTAAATATAAGCCTCTGAACAAGCTAGAGATTAAGCAAAAAACTACTTTGCATACTCGAAAAAAAAAATGGTTTTCGTATAATACTTAATGTGTAATTATAATTAATTATGAAAATTGAAATACCGGTTTATACAATTATATACAAAATACCGGTTCTTGTTTTTTTTTTTAATTGTCAAAGTGGAATTCGAGCAGTTCTTTCGAATTAATTTTGCGGTTAATTCGGTGTCGGCTTTTCAACGCACGAATTCCCTTCGTAACTGTTCTCTCTCGGTGTTCCTGCGAGAGAACGCGCCTAAATAACACAGCGACAACAATGCCCGACGTGCGAGAAAAAAAATGCTGTTCGGTAGAAAAGAAAAGAGAGTGCTGGAGGTAAAAAGCGGTCCCGATGACCGAGGAGGAAAAGAATTGGATTGCATTCAATGGCACGTAGCCTCGGATCACGTACCATATACTGTTTGTTGCAGAAACTCATTGAATTTGTTTGACAATAAAATCACTACTGGACGGAATGAGATTATGCGGTGCTTCTTGCCGTTCTTCGGCGCATTTTTACAAACTTTTATATATATATATAGAGAGAGAGAAAATTGTTCTTTTCTTCTTTATTTAATACTTATTTTCAACGAAAATCGGAAATATATAGAGGAGAACGTTACCTCCGATCGATTCAACCTTATGTTTTCGAGCGAATCAACGTAAATTGCGAAGCTCCGAGTAAATATGTTGACACGGACTGATGAGATTGAAGCGGCAGTTCTCAATCAGCCTTATTTATTTGTTTTCCTTTTTCATATCTTTTTTTATATATATATATATAAATATAGACGTAGCGAACGAAAACAGAGACGAGCAAATCATAAACAAAGCATACAACATCTTAAGGGGAAGGTAAATATTTAAGGATTCCCCAATCCTTGTGCTGTTTCACTAAGACTTTTGAAAATTACCAATCAATTTGTACTTTTTCATATATGCGCCGTTCATTTTGAAAGTGACTTAAGTCCATTTATCTTTAATTTGAAATACTTAAGGTTTTGCGTTTTTACAAAATTAAAAATGTACGTAAGATATATGGTTGACTTGCAATGTTAAATCGCATTTAAGGGATTTAATTTTATACATCCTATTAAAAAAGTCGCTATTATTAAGTGTATAATATGACCTTGCTTCCTTAAAAGGACTTAGGTCACTTTCAAAATAAAAATTTGTTTTGTTACAAAAAGTGAAAGAGCTTAAGTCCGTTACATGTAGCTTAAAAAATAGGAAAAAAAAAACATTTAAATTATATTTTTAGATAATAGAAATAAATTTAGTAACAAGTTATTCCTTAACATTCTCAGTATGCGGGAGTGATGGTGTTCAGGAGGTATATACCGCAATAAGTCCATCATGTGTCGGTATTTTAGTGATGTGATGCTTCTTATACTTTTATATACCGATGACAATACAATATTCCCAAAATTTTTAGGTCTGCCTCGACGTGGCAATAAATAAATTTTAAATTCTGCGTTCTCATCCATGGTTGTTTTGTATAAAATTTTATATGGTTCATTTCTTAAAAATCGCATCCAGCATATTTGAAGCCAGTTTATTTTTTCTCCATTGGTATTTTTGGATCTTTTGTAAACTGCTTCTTCCAAGAGTCTTGTTGATATAAAATCCTCTTGTTTCATTTCATTTAGTATAAAAGTATTACCTTTTCTACATTTTTTAAT